CATATCAAGATGGGAAGACTTACTATCTTTAGTCTTGCCTATAATATTTAGAAGTGTGCCAATCAAACTATCACACACATTTTTCTCCACGTGCATCACATCAAGACAATGTCTAACATCAAGACTTGACCAATATGAAATATTAAAGAAGATGGACTTTTTTTCCATATATTTTTCGCAACTGACCTTTTTTCTTTTTCTCTCTTCCCAAAGACAACATTAATATGTTCCTGCCGTTAATAAACTTTATCCCCGATTAAAGGTTCATGAGCCTAATCAAACTCTTTCTCTCCATTAAAAGCCTTTCGCAATCTACGATAAGGATGATTGCATTTTAGAAATTTTTGATGCCCAGGGTAAACAGACTTTTTTCCAAACTCAAGTTGGTGATAATAAATATTATCTTCACAAACATGACACGCTTTATGTCCTTTGACACTATATTGAGCCAAGTTACCGTAAGTAGGAAAGTCGTTGCTTGTGCAAAATAACATTGCACGCATCTTAAACTTTTCCCCAGAATATGCATTATCAACCTTAACTCCTTCATTCCACAAGAGTTGTAAATCATCAACTAATGAACTTAGATAAACATCTATATCATTACCAGGTTGTTGTGGTCCAGAAATCATCATACTTAACAGTATATACTTGCGCTTCATGTACAAACAAGGAGATAGGTTGTAAATAGTGAGAAGAACAGGCCACGAAGATGATTAGGGCTCAGATTACCAAAGGGGTTCATTCCATCGGTGGCAAGCCCAAGGCTAAGGTTTCTTGGCTCAACTCAAAAATCCGAAAACAACAAATCAATTTTCTTCCATTGCAACGAATCAGCTACATGGAGAATGTTTCCATCATGAATCCTTTCATCTGCATGCCATCTAAGATTCTTTGCGTTATTGGAATTAGCAAAAATTCTCTTAAATCGTGAAATTATTGGCAAGTACCATAACACTTTAGCAGGAAGATACTTCCTACTAACATTGTCATAGTCATTGTCATCATCATTGTCATCATCATTGTTGGCCTTCAGCTTGTAACGCGATACACAATATTTCGAACATTAATACAAGTCTTCATACTCTTTCTTGTATAATATGCAATCATTAGGGCAAGCATGTATTCTGATATACTCCAGACCCATTGGACACAATATCTTCTTGGCCTCATAGCAACGATCCAACAATTTGTTATCTTCTGGTAACATTTCCTTTAGCAATTCAAGTAATTATGTGAAACTTTTATCCGACCATCCATTTTTTTCCTTTGGATTAAACAACTTTAACACCGCCGATAATCGTGTAAAATTTGTGCATCCCTTATATGAAAGGGTGCCTTTATCACTACATATAGTATCATAAATATGAGCATTCTTAAAAGAAGATTCCCCAATATCACATAACATGTCCTCTAGTTGCTCTTCCATATATTCATCTTCATCCACTCTTTGACTTTGTGACGCCCGACTTTCCTCTTTACCCACCTCACCATGCCACGTCCATATTATATAATTTTGACATATACCGTCACAACAAAGGTGCTGGAATATTTCTTCCTTTGTACCCTTATCGATATTCGTGCAAACAACACAAGGACAATAAAAGATACCATCATTGTCGGGAAAATGTTTATCAGCGTATTCAAGGAATTCAAGAATTTATTTCTCATAAACCGGACCTAATCTATTGGCTTTCATCCCACTACGATTCATAACAACTTCTGAAATTTATACATGTATAATAATGTGAATTACACACCAAAATCTAATCCAAAAACTAACTTGAGCATATGCAAATCTAAAACTAAAGCATATGAAAAATGTACTCTCATACTGACTTGAGCATATATACAACATAAACAAAGAAAAAATAAATGAAGATGTTGAAGAGTGTCGTACTTCGAAGCTGAAGAATCAAATGAACAAAGAGGGTGAAGATTTGAGCATATACAACATAAACCAAGAAAAAACGAATGAAGATGTTGAAGAGTACCGTACAACGAAGCTGCAGAATCAAATGAACGAAGAGGGTGAATATTTGAGCATATACATCATAAACAAAGAAAAAAGGAATGAAGATGTTGAAGAGTACCATACTGCGAAGCTGAAGAATCAAATGAACAAAGAGAGTGAAGAATTAAGCTCCAAATGAATGGATACGAAGATTTGAGCCACCAATGTTGTCTCTGGCTCGCTTGTTCACCTATAGCGTCTTATGAAAGAAATACGAAATAAGTTTTATTTTAATTTATCAGTAAACTCTTTAATTACGGTTAGACAAAGCAACCATAGTGGAAATTTAAGTCCTCTAACAACGGTTGACGCATTCACCGTTGTTAAATTATTTACAACTTATTTTTTTAAATAATGGAGATAGGTGACACAAGCTTAATGTACTCTAAAAAATGGAAAAAATATGGTTGCTGGGAATTGAAGCGTGCTACACATTATTTTTTACTACATTGTTTAAAATCAACCGTCATTAATAAATCCAGCAACTCGCCGAGCGCGAAAATTTTAACATATTACTACAGTGTATATGGATACATTGTAAACACGACGTTGTTGTTTGTGCGTTTTGTAGTAGTGATACTTATATCATAATAGTATTAGCCTTGGCAGCCAGTTGAGACACACATTTATATCAGATTGATGTGAAGACAACATATGTTCACGGTAATCTAGACGAACAAATTTACAAGGAGTAGGCAAAGGGGTTCAGTGTCACTTAACATGGAAGAGTAGTTTATAAATTGAAGAGGTTTTTGTATGGTTTAAATCATTATCCAAGGTGATAATACAATCAATTTGTTTCATACATGCTTAAGATTGGCTACATAAGGTGTGAGTACTTGTGTTTATGTTAGGAGCCTTGATGATGACTCTTTTATTATTTTTTATTATTGTATGTTGAAGTTATGTTGATTCCGGCTAATCATTTACATGATGTAAATGAACTGAAAATTATGTTGGTAAATGAGTTTTACATGAAAGCCTTAGGTGTGCTAAGAAGATTCTTCATATGCAAATTCACAAGAATAAGAGTACTAGACAATTATGGCTTTTTTAGAAAAGCTATGTTGAAAAGGTACTAGACAAGTTTGACATGAGTAATTTGAAGGATGTGAGTACTCCATTGGTGAATCACTTTAAACTCTCATTGGATCAGTGTCCAAAGACAGATTCAAAAGATGGGTATATGTCAAAGTCTCTTATGCTACTGCTGTTGATTATTTTATGTATGTTATGGTCTGCACTAGATCAAATCTGGCACAAGTTATAAGTCAAGTTCGTAAATTTATGTAAAAAAAAAAAAAAAAAAAGAGTAATTGGGAAGCAATCAAGTGGACATTCAAGTACTTAAAAGGTACTATCCATTATGGTATCATGCTTAGCACTAAACAGGGTGATCCTTCATTTGTTGGGTATCTTGATTTAGAGTATGCCGGTGATATGGACAATATGAAGTCTACAACATGGTATTTCATTACTTTAACAAAAGGGCCTATTTGTTAGAAATCATTGGTTCAATCATAGTGGCCGTGTCGAAAACTAAAACATAGTATATAACGGTAGGTGAAATTGCCAAGGAAGCCTTATGACTTACGAGATTGGTGAGAGAATTAGGTGTTGAGCAAGGTGAAGTTCGATTATATTGTGATAGTCAAAATGTCATTTATTTGGTAAACAATTAGGTGTATCATGCCAAGATCAAACATATTGATGTGAGGTTTCACAAGATTAAAGAGTTACTTGCATTTAGACAAATATTACTTGCAAATGTTCATACTTCAAAGAATGTAGATGATATATTGACCAAGCTAGTCATCAGTGACAAGTTCAATTGCATTGCTTGAACTTGTTATTTGTTTCTCAATGTTAATCAAGATGTGTATCTTCTTAGTTTCCATGATGAATCATCATGCATAAAGTATTCACTAGTGAGAAAATTGTTGAATATGAATCATATTGTTGAGATAATTATGAATTGTTGAGTATAACTCATATTATTATGGGTAGAGATAATTATTTGTTGAGGGAATTTGAGGATTAGGATTTTAGATAAACCTGAATTCTAATATTATATATATATATGACTTGTAACACTTTAATCTAATAATTCCACAGTACAAAAATAAAAGAAATTATAGTTTTTATATAGTTATTGAAGTATAGATCATTGGTCAAATTGTATTAACAAAGATTGATCGTACTCATTGTCTTTTATTTTTATTTATCTTTAATCTTATTTATTGGTTGCTGTACTAATAAATTGATTGTGATAGTAATGCATTTTATTAAGTGAATGTACATTCTATTCTTGCTTATGTAGTAATAGGTTACATCCCAAAATAAATTATTAGTTGAATTTAGGTCAATACTATGAGTTTGAGGGAATTGGATTCTATGCTCTGTCAGAGAACACCGTCTTTAGTTATGTGAGTAAAGAGAGAGAAATTGGAAATAAAAAAATAAGTGGTAAAGAAGAGAGAAAGAAAGCAAAATGATAAGAGATATGAAATAAAAAAAAGGGCATGAGGGACGTATGCAGAGCAATGACAACAAATGATCTAAATCCAAGTTTTAGCTTAACTGACCTACTCTGCTCTCCATTGAGTGATCTTTTTGCCGTTTTTATTTGCACTAAGAAAGTATTAGCATGTGTAACCATGATAACATATATCATTAGTAAAGTCTTGCCCTACATAGTCCACATTGAAAAAAAAGATGTTATTCACAATAATTAAAATTCATTTTTCCATGTGACACACATGTTTAAAAAGTGTACATTATTTTAATATTAAAAGTATCCTAATCATAAAATTACACAGAGTTAATTTTGATTTTTCATTTATTTAAATTCAAAAAACACTAAAAACTCTATCTTTTTATTTTTTTTTATTATAATTTATCGAAAGGATAATAAAAGAATCTTAATGTCAGGATTTCTCTGTATAAAGCATTGATTCAGTTGATTTAGTTGTTGAAAGTTTTGAAAATGGCTTCCATAGTATTGGAAGTAGCATCACATTGTTATTCCCATTCACTACATGAAACAACCACGTCAACAAACCGATTATTTTCTTCAAAATTTCATTATCCTAACAACAATGCTTCCAAATTCCACCCTTTCCCTTCAAAATCCGCTCTTTTCGTTACCCATAGTCTCTCTTGTGCAAGAATTGATTCCGCTTCGAGTACTCAACAGCCTGACCCGGGTCTTGACCCGACCCGGGATAGGCGACGGGTTGTCAGGGTTGCGTGGGAGAAACTTGTTCGTTGGTCTAGGTCTTGGCGGTCTAAGTCCAATACTGATGTACTCCAACGCACCAACAAGGTTTGTTTATTTTCTTCCTTGTTACGCAATATGTTCCAATGCTTATTTTCTTGTTTTAAATCACTGACGCTGGAACAGTTTTGTTCTGATTCTCTTTATATTCGGTTTGTGTTGTTGGTGAATAGGTTGTGGTGCTTGGAGGGGGGTCATTTGGTACAGCAATGGCTGCTCATGTTGCGGATAGAAAGGATCAGTTAGAGGTAGTGATGCTTGTTCGAGATCCTCAGGTTTGCTTGTCTATCAATCAGACCCGCTGCAATCGGTAGCTACTTTCTTTCACACTTGTTAATTTATGACTTGTTGTGCTTGCTTCTATTGCGTCACAGTTTGTTCTTATATTATATCTTTCGCAGTAACTACTTTCCGGATCATACACTTCCGGAAAATGTAATCGCAACAACTGATGCCAAGTTAGCTTTGACTGATGCAGATTACTGCTTGCATGCAGTGCCTGTTCAGGTCATTTGAATTTTCATTTCTTTTTTTTTTTTGGATACTAGTTTTATTATTCATACCTTTATTGGGGTCAGCCGCTCCACGCCGCTATCTGGGATTGACTACCATGTCTGAATCTTTGTTTCTGTTATTGCAGTTCAGCGCAGCTTTTCTCGAGAGTGTTGCTGAATATGTTGATCCAGGCTTGCCATTCATATCTCTCAGTAAAGGCCTGGAGCTTAATACACTAAGGATGATGGCTCAAATTATTCCTCAAGCACTACGAAATCCTCGCCAGCCTTTTGTTGCACTATCCGGGCCTTCTTTTGCTCTGGAATTGATGAATAAGCTACCTACAGGTTACAATGATATTGCTAATTACCTGTGTTAATCTTGTTTTAAACTGTGTGTTTCATACCATGGAGGCCAATAATTTTTGTCATTTGGTTCCATTTTACAATACAGCGATGGTCGTGGCGTCCAAAGACAAAAAATTGGCAGATGCAGTTCAGCAGCTATTAGCTTCAAATCGTTTAAGAATCAGTACATCAAGGTACCTTCAGTAGATTCATAAACGAAATTGAGTTTCTTATGTAAATGACTTCTTTTCATCTTTGTTAAGATCAATGATTTAAAAACCGGACCGGAGATTGAACCTTTAAGATCTTCGGGCCATGGTTCAATCAGTTGAATTAGATGACTATAAAATAAATAGAAGTATAAAAATAAAACTGAACCAGTTGAATTGGGCTTGATCCGGTTCTTACAGATTAAAAACCAACCGTGGTTGAACCAACCAATGGACTGACTAATTCAACGGGTCGCCGCAATTCTTACAACACTATTTAAAACTTATTTCCTCCCGTCTTATCAAAAGTATATGTCTTTTGCTTGCTTTAATCTTTGTATTTCTGTTTGATGCATGATATGTCAAACAACTGCATAGAGAAATTTTGATGTGAATGCTTAGCTTGTAATCTCTGATAAGTGATAACTACAGTGATGTTATAGGAGTAGAAATAGCAGGGGCCCTCAAGAATGTGTTAGCAATAGCAGCTGGGATTGTAGAAGGGATGAATCTTGGTAACAATTCAATGGCCGCTCTTGTCTCGCAGGGTTGTTCCGAAATACGGTGGCTAGCAACAAAGGTAATAATGACCTCTATTAAAAAAATTATTTCATATAAGCAATAAACTATAAAAACGGATTGTGTATTTGGGTCACGCTTGGAGCATTCAGAATTGATCCAGGATGTGTAGAAACATAGTCCTGAATAGAACATAACAACAGAAGTTGATCCGTGTAGCCGACTCCATTTAGTGGAATAAGGCTTGGCTGTTGTTGTTGTTGTTGATGTACAGAATTGATTCGGACATGATTGATTGCTCTCGAGTAGAATTGATTTATGCTTTCTAGAATTGATTCTACTTGAAGATAAGTCAATTTACCTTCAAATCACTTTTAGTCAAAATCAATTTTACAGAATCAATTCACTTAAAAATCAAATCAATTTTCTTTACCGCAGAACCCAACATAGGCCTCATATAAGCTGTAAGTCATTTCTTTGCAACTAAAAATAGTAATAACAATATTTCTCTTCCTCTTATTATCTTTTGAAGATGGGTGCAAAGCCAACTACAATAACTGGTCTGTCAGGAACTGGAGACATAATGCTTACATGTTTTGTCAACCTCTCGAGAAATAGAACTGTTGGTGTGCGTCTTGGATCGGGCGAAAAGCTCGAGGACATACTTAATTCCATGAATCAGGTAGTTTCCAATTGTGCTTTATCACACACAAAAGTCTATAAAATGGCAGAGTTACTGAAAAACATCCTTTACTACCCGCAGGTAGCAGAAGGTGTCTCAACGGCTGGAGCTGTGATTGCTTTGGCGCAGAAATATAATGTAAAGATGCCAGTATTGACAGCAGTCGCTCGTATTATCGACAATGAACTTACTCCTAAGAAAGCTGTTTATGAGTTAATGAGCCTCCCTCAGGTTATTTATTCTTACCCTTCTCTGGATTATATTGGTCTTTCTTATTTCACCTGTTTGGTTCCACGGTGGAAACTCCTCAACTCGAGTTTAACAAAAGTCACTTTCAGAAAATCTAATGATTAAAATCATTTTTTTTACCACAAAACCAAACAAACACTTATATTACAAGTTTTTGATTGATGACAATTTGTTATCACACAGGTTGAAGAAGTATGAAACCTCCCAAGACATGGTTTATCTACCAGCTACTTTTTAACTGCTGATTGAAAGTCAATTCTTTTTCACCATTGTGCTTCTATTGCTGTCTGAAGGCTTGGTGATACCAATTTTGCACAATTGGAGTTTAACCATAAAAAGAATTTGAGAAATGTGTAGATTCAGGAAAAAGTATATATATTCTTACCTTATCAATTCATGTTCAAGATTACCTTTAAACTTTAATGTCCTGCATGGAAAACGATATTAATATATATTGATAACTACTCTAAGAAAAAAAATACTCTAAAATTTAATTATTATTAAATGGTGTTGTCAAATCAGGTAAACTATTACATATTATTTTGAGTGATTGCTAATGTATTCCAATGTACCAAACGGGTTTGGGTTGAGATAGGTATCTCTGTTCCACCATCATTCCTTTAGGGAAATCAATTTTTTAAATAAAAATATTTATTTATTTCAAAATTAAATTGTCGTATTTTTAATTTGTCCTACTTTGGTGATTTCATTTTTCAAGATTAAAATTGAAGAAATATTCAATTAAAGATGGTACAACAGTATCTGATGATCCCACTTTATCCGATTAGGGGGTGTACCTTAAATCCAAGAAGCGGGGCTTTCTAAATCAGACAGACTCGCGTATCCGTGAATCCATTCGCGTGACATGTTGGCTAATGGACCATGCGATTCGAAAATGAGAAATTATTTCAAAAGAATAATAATTATTAAGTCCTTAGTTTGTTAGCCCATTTAAGAATAATTGTTGTTAATAAAAGTAGATATGAGATGCAATTATATTGGCCCATTTCTTATAAGCGGCAAAACAAGAGGGGGGTGTGCTTATAAGGTCCATTAAGATTGGTCCATATGATATTTTTAGAAGGGAAAATAAGAAGTATTTTATTATTAAAAAAAATATGTAATAAAAAGTTGTTTATTATAAATAAATAAATAAACGAACAATATTTTTAAAGAAGAGGGGGAAGACATAATGTTTTTATTCAAAACTTGTTTTAAAAGTTTTGTTTTATTTATCAAAGTTTGGTGTTTTGGGTCTGGTTGTATTGAATATAATAAAAAGTTTTTGTTGTAAATATGAGTTAGGCTGATAGAAGATGTTGGCCCAATCTTTTTCAAAAAATAGTATTTTTATCATGGTTGATAAGGTTTTTATTACATAATGTTGATTGGGCTGAAATAGGAATAGTTTTTGTGCAAGCCCAATTGAATCAAAAAAGTTTTGTTGTAATAAAAAACTAATGGTGCTGGGCAGTACCAATAATTAAGACTCGTTTTCATTTGTGTTGGCCCAATTAATCAGAAGAACATGCTCTGTTCCAATCACAACTAATTTCACTCACGTTTTTTTTTTTTTGCATTAAACACATACTGTAGAAATCAAAATGAAGCAAATCAAAACTTTCTTTTTATAGTCAAAATCCAGAATTTATGAAGATGGGATACTATCAGATACAGCAAGTCAGAAGCTCATCAGTACAGAATCTCAAATTTACATTACAAATCTTACAAAGCAATCAAATCCAAATCTCTACAATCAATAAATCCCATAAATCAATTACAATCAAAAAATCTCAGAAATAAATCTTATTACAAAATAAATCTAACATTACAGTAAAATCAAATATATTCCACAATCATTTACAAACCAGAATCCAAAATCCGAATTACAATCAATTTGAATCCTTAATCTTCTATCTCAATCTCTAATTCTTCTCTAATTCTACAAACCCTAAAATCCAACTAAAACTATAAATACAGAAAAACTGATAATACAAGAGGGGGGGAAGAATACAAGGGAAGACTGCAAGAAAAAGAACAACAGTACCAAGGGGACGAATACAGACGAGTAAGAAACCATAAGGATTTGAAGAGTTGAAGAAGAAGAAAGCACTGATTGGGGTTTCGATCTCCGAAACCCTAATTAGCTTCCCTAGTCGCTACCCGCCACCGCCGTACACCACAGCACTCCACCGCGCCACCAGAACATGCATAAAACGAAGAGGAAGGCGAACTTAGTACCCAAATCAGAAAACTCAGAAATCAAAACAGAAGAATCGCAAAGGGGTAATTCCGCTTAGCTTTGTTATCGTTATTCTTGTATTGGGGTGGTACTGGTTCGATTTACAATGGGTAGGGGTTGGTTAAGAGTTACGGCGCCATTGTTGGTGGTTTAGGGTTTGGGAGAGAGCGAAAGGGTAGGGAAGAGAGGAAGACAGTGTTGTTGTAAAGAAAGAAGGAATGGAAATGAAAGATGTGTTAAAACAAAATAATATAATCCTTTTCAATCCCGTATGCGCTAGCCTATCGTAATTAACATGGTCCCTCGTTCTTATATGTTTGATCTAGATCTGACGGCCTTAAGGCCATATCACACGCTAAGCCCCTGCACCTTTTCCGCACGCAATCAATCCGGACCCCTCTCAACTTTGTATTGGACCAAGCCCAGCTACTCTTCGCACCCCCTTTCTGTATTTTTACTAAACCATAAAACACAAAGCACCCCCCCCCCCCCCCTCTGTCTGAACAATAATTGGGTCAGCCTGGGCTTAACTTCCAACACCCCCCCTTATTTTACTACATAACCAATAATACACCCCCCTGATTAATTTATTTTTTATATTTTTTTTAATAATTACTATTATTATTATTATTATTATTATTATTTATAATTATTATGATTATTAATATTATTATTTATATTATCATTATTATCATGTTTTTATTTATTATGTATCATAAATAAATTATTTTATTTAAAACTCATGAATATTATTTTATTACATTATTGGCATTAAAATTTTTTTATCATGCATTAATCAAGATCTTCGCAATTAACACAATAAAAAACACTAACAAACCATCAAACTATTTTTTCGCAATAAACTAAGTTAACCAACTATTTTTGCAAAAGGGTTTCAAACAAATTTTGACTTACCGCGCATTTAGTCAAAATCTCCGCAATCACCACTCCCGATCAAAGTGCGAGATGATTCAAAATATGTTTGCAAACCCCTAAAAAACACCAACCTCATACGAACTACGAATTAGGACTCTGATTCCTCTTAAGAGGATATGTAGGCATGCGATCAAAAATCGTAGCGAGTTCCCCTATAAAAAATTTAAACCCTTCCCCTATTAAAACTTAAAATCCTGTTTACCCCAAACCTAAACATAAAACCTAGTATCCTTGTGAACAAGGTAGATGAAAGATGCCTAACACCTTCCTTTTGTCTAATTGAGTCCGAAACCTAGAATCTCTGTCTGCGACTTAGGGTTTTCTGTTAGATTCCCTTCCCTAGGATAAAAACTAATAGTGGCGGCTCTGATTAAAAATCCAGTTGCTACAGCTGGCGACTCTGTTGGGGACGCTTAACCCTAGGTTTTAGGTTTTTTGGGTTTATCTTTATTCGCTTTATTTATTTTTTGCATTAATTTATTTATTGCATTTATTTAATTACTGTCTCTTTTATCATTATATATTTACTGTGTGGCGGGAATTTTTATTTCAAAAAAATATTTTCAATAACCCTTAGAAAGAAGATTCGTCTATTAGCTTAGGGGATACATCATTCCTGCGAGTTTATGTGACGACTTCGCCTAGAGTCGGTGAACTTCCAAAAAAGGAATACTTATCAAGAGATACCCTCTTGACGAGTAGGAATTTGGAAGGACACCCATGACTCTTTGTAACGACCTTAACCTAAAATCTCATGACGAGACCTTTCACGAATGTGAGACGAAAGTTTCGGTCCGTAAAGAGGCTCCACCTAAGGGAGGTCCTTGTGCCTTTTCCCTCTGGTGTTATTCATGATACCCTTAAAGAAACCACCTTCTGGGAGGGTATACTAACCGTAGGTCAAAATTAAGGAACCTACCTTTTAAGGGTACTTATCACAAAGCCCCGTCACTCAACCCTGCGTTTATACATCTATGCATTCATACATTTCATATATTTGTCATGCATTTATCATATATTCGTCACCCATTTCTTTGTCTTATTCACAGGGTACAAAAAATAATAAAATCAAGATCTCGGTGACTGTATTTAAAAATGGATACCGAAGGAAATAACTTGTCTACATCAACATGCCAAACATGTCTGAAATCAAAGCCACAAAAGGGAAATAATGTACTGAAGACTTTCCCAAGCTTTGTCAAGAAATGGGGATGGTTTCAAGAGCAGACGTCTGCAAGTGCACCAGGAAGACTTATTTCCCTTGGTTCAATTTCATGCAATCAAGTTTTGGTTTAAGATTGTAATATTTTTCAATATCTGAATTATGTTACCTTCAATAAAGGCATTTTGTTTCCACATCTCATTCGCGTATCTATTTTTAAGCTGGTCACCGAATAAAAAATAAGCGAAAGATAAATATATACCCAAGTGAATAAGACATTTAACCCCGCTCATATCCATGCATATTCATTTGCACGCACGCATTCACGAACACCTGCATATCATATCAAAACTTATTTTTCAAAAAAATCTCTCCAGTAAACCATTGGTAGAAGAAGATCTCCACCTCCTTGGCCTCCATATCAAACAAGGACTTATCAACAAAAAGCAATGGAGAAAATTGAGGAGACTCAGGCTGTGTTCAAAGAGGACCTCGACCAAGTAAAGGGGATGTAAGTTCAATGAAAGGAGATTTGAGTCGAGTTCTCCTAGCTTTAAAGAACATTATTGACAGGCAAGACCAGATTCCCAGGGTAGCTTTCGAAGAAGTAGCCCAGACTATTGGTGTATCAAGCGGTCACCAACCAAGGAAAGAGCCAGAAGCAGGACTCCAAAAGACCGTCATGGCTCAACAAGAAGTTGAAACTGAAGGGTTTGTCCCACCGCCACCAAAAGAAGGGGCATCACATACCCTACAGATTCCAACCAATAATGCAAACAACTACTTGGACCTGCAATACGGAGACCACGACCCAGAGGATGCCAACCGAGCACCCTTAAAGCCGACTGGTACTTATGT